GATACGTTGCATGAGGATTTGAAATTAGTTGGCCTTCACCCCGATCAGGCACATAATCGGGAAAAGTGGCGTCGTAATACCAGGAAAGCGGACCCCGCCACAGGGTGGGACAAACGCTAAAGAATAAGAAGAAGAAGAAGATATCAGCTACCAGTGGTACGGTCCGGAAATCAAACCGGAGATCGATCGCTTAAGTCAACTAATGGGCCTTTCATCACCCTCTATTTTGGAAAAGGAGAGGAGCGTCGACTGCAGGCCACACACCACAGTAGACGGACAGGCTAATCGTTAAAGAGAAAGTGAATTTTCTTTTTGGCTTTTGCGTTTTTGGCGTCCCGTCACTGTGGTGTGTGGTCTGCTCTTCGGACATCTTCTTCGTTTTACGGGAACAGGGGGCCCGTACTCGGAAAGTGCACTTACCAACCACGTTCGACAGATGAAAGCAAGTAATTACTCCTGTATGTATGTGCAGGAGCCTTTAAAGGCAAAGGTCGGGCTCAGGCACGCTAGAGAAGTAAATTCCGTGCCTGGAGGTTGTATGTGGGTAGCTGCACACATTGCAGCAACTTCCCACCTTGAAAAACCCCGTTAAGGCCCCGGGGCGTTCGGTTTCAATCCAGGGCCGCCTGGTCAATCCAGGACCCGCCCACCTCCGGAAGTGGTGCGTGGCTGGCATAACGTGTTGAAATTGCCGTATCAACCGATAGAACGACTGACATCTCCAGAAAACTTGTTTGTACGTGCCTCTTTCCCCAAGCCAGCCTCCTTCACTGCTAGTGGGAAAGAGGGTTTTGTTAACGGCCTTGTCGACGGTTTTTCTCAGTTTTTTCTCCACTGTCGTTCCACTTCGCATCTCTATACTCAGTTTCAATCGCCATAATACCCCCTTATTGAGCCCGACTTTTGCCTTTAAGTCGGATTTGAACGTGAGGTGGTTCTGTAAGGATGCAAGATGCGTGGCGCACCTTAGAACGAAATTGATCGTGCGTATCCTTCCTCATTTTCATTGAGTTGCTTCAAGTTTAAAGCTAACATTAATACGAAATTAACTTGGAGACCTATCAAAACTAAATTCAGTAAAATATGTTAAATAGCTTGTGTTAATGCATATGTGTGTAGTAATGACCAGGCAATGTTTAAGGCAACAATCCCAGATCAAATTGGGGGTAACAATGATCGACAATTGAAATTGTGCATGTGGAGTTGACTAAAAATGAAAAAAGAGTAAACAAAATCGTCGATAAGCCCTTGAGTAAGCATTCTCTCTCCCTTCCCCCTTGTATGAAGAAGGGCCCTGTCTGGCGAGTTTTCTAAATTTCATGCTCCATGGCTCCACTAGCCCGCGCGTATTTGAGTTAGTCGCTACGTCGTAATCTTCTTGCGTGTCATGGGGTGTGCCCGAGGTATCTCGTCCATTAGCTCGCTAGCCGTCATGAGCTTATTTTCGTAAGGCCATAGCGCCATTGTCGGTGCACCTTTGAGCCGCTACGAAGGCACAACTGTGATACTGATACATGACAGCTGTGATACTGATACACAGCGGGCCACCCTATCCTAATCACAGAATAGACGTTCGAATCGACGTCATCTGGTGCTGTTGCTTTAAGTCCGGCGTAGTAGGCGTCTGCCACTCACTATGTATATCCATCAGCCTCTACAAAGACAAGCAATGAACAGGAGTTTTTAGGAGGTCGCCGAGAGGAGTACAATCATGAAGTGAATAATAGAGCGTGCGGATAAATGAGTGCGTGTTCAGAGGAGAGTTTGAAGGCCAGAGCAGGGAGAGAATACGGGAATGAGAGAAACTCAGACAATAACGGGGCAACAGGGGGAGTACCCTTCCTAAGCCACCTTCTGACGCAGTGGTAACCCGTATCGCCTCTTTTTTCCCGTACGGACTCATTCAGGGGCTTGGAACACTTCGTGAGGGTGTTGTTGAATTGGCGCCGAACTGGTGAGAAAAAATGGGCTCTAGAAATTTAGCGTAGGAGAAAAGGATAAAGCGTTTGCCGTTGATCAATCCCTTTTTGGGATGCGGCACGCATTCTACTTCCATTTGTACATTCGCAGTGGCATTTGAATGCGATGTGGCCTATACAATGACTTGCGGGGGCCAGCCGATGTACAAGTCAGTGTTTTTATCCTCCCAGACAAGTCTGGTACCAATTAACCGACCCCGGGAGGGATGGAAGGCTGGTTGGCCTGGTCCACTCACGACCCAGGATTTGATCTCTGGACCGCTCGTTTGGGAAGGTGTGCCCTGCAACAACACTTCACCTCTACTAATTACGTAAGCATGGCAAGTGTGGGCAATGTAGTTAAAGTGCAGCTCAGAACCAATGGATAGTTTACTTCTAAGTAAAATAAGCAGCAGCTCAAAATGCAAGTTCTAGCTTGTATTGATTTTTCAAGGTGTTTTCTAAGACAGCTCACTGATGACTGATTTCTTGCGCCGTTAAGCGACGATAGTTGGCCGATATTTCTGCGCAATTGTCCTCCTTGGAACCCTTGAAGATGCTGGTGAATGATAGGACACCTAGGGCTTCCAGACTTTGTGACGGTCTTGCCATAAGTAGGGCTCATGTTGGTCGTGGCAACTTTTATAAAGAATTTCGGAGAAAATAGTAGCAAAAGAAAAGTTTGATCATAACCACATGAAAAGTCGTCTAGACAGGGCAGGAAGGAGAAGAATGTATTCATACGTAGCCACCTGTTTTATGGCATCATAGCCAATAGGTAGCTGAAAAGGCGGATCGAATCAAATAGACTTCGTTCACAAAAAACTCACATGCGAACGAGTTCAGAGCGCTGTTTTTGAAGAGATGTGTTTCACATCAGATCATCGGCTGTTTCCAGTGGCAAACAGGAAAGGGCATTGTGCACTCTTTTGAAGGCACTGTCGCTTTTAATGTGGGCGCGTAATTTCACGGGAAAAAGAAACTGAGTAAAAAAAAAGAGTCTCACGAAACGGCGGCCAACGTCTGGTCCAGGGTCAAGCGTGCGTTGAGGAATCCTCGACAGGTCACAGGGGGGGGGGTCGTTGGCCCGCTGGAGGAAGAGATCGGGCCCGATTGATACAGTAGGATCATCGTCGGAGGACAAACATTAAGGATCGAATCGATACCAGGCCAGAGTATTTCCAATAACAATTGATTCCGTCCACACAAAATCTTCGTGATTTAGAGGTGTCCGCTTAGCAATTCTTAGTGACTTTAGTGTTTCATCACCACACAAGTTGAAGAGTCGATCGAAATTCGCACGTTTTCTAAGGGATATTTTATCTTTCAAGTGAGTCCTCAAATCCGAAGGGATGTGAAGCACACGGCGCATCCCAGAGTGGGCCCAGTTGGTTGCGCGCGCTTCAGCTACGGCTCTCTGGAGGCGAAATCGAGACAATTCAGGAAAAATCAAGAGTATTCTGAAAGGAGTCATGTGAAATTACACGAAGGAGTTCACCATACAACAAGAAACGCAGTCTTCAGCGTCAATTTCACAAGTATTTGATCGTTAGGTTTTTTTTAAATATGACCAGTCATGAGTGACATTCACTCGTCGATAAGTCGCAACGTAAGTGGCTCGCATCTTCAGCTGCCTCATAATTTTTCAATTCGGATATACTGGAGGTTAGCTGTCGCTAGAATGTAGGCTCTGATGATGTGAAACAATCTTCGCGTGCAGCGTTTTAGATGAACCGTCGCAAATGGTCCACGATTTTAAGGTCTCGTTTGACCGCTCCTAGCTCGCACCATGAGTCAATAGGCTGCTCGTTGAATGCCGTCGATGTAGAGCTTGCTCGCTCAATCTTCCTTGTTCATTTCAATAATCCATTACTAGCATTGTGTTTCGAACTTAGTCGAAAGTGCTGATTCCGTTTCATGTAAATTAGAATCTTCGTTCATTGCTCAGCCTCCACCCCCTCCCACCGCCAGCGCCTCGCCTCCCCGCGCCCCCTAACATTTCTCAAGAGGTGTGTCACAACGCTGCCATGGAACTTTACCGAAAATCGCTTTTTAGAGAATTTTTGCTCTATTCTTGGGTGCTCGGTCCAGTAAAACGTCCCAAGTATGGTACTCGAGTGGCTTCCTATCCACTACAGATGTGGAGTCTTTAGAGTGCTGGCTGGGTTTTCACATCGAATTTTTTCATTTTGGGAGTACGAAAGTCGACAAGGGGAGAGCTAGTTTCTGCATCTGATAATTATCCTGGTGGTAACTGTAACTTTCGAGTCCCCGAATTTTCCATCTGTGGTGGTTCCAAACTTATTGAAGAGTTGAACTGTTGCCCACATGAGCTTTCCTGATACGTTAGACTGCCGCTAGATGTAACGTGCCAGAGCCCTTAGTGAGTTCAATTTGAGGAATGACATAAGGAGGTGTTGCTCTTTCACTAGTTTTGAGAACTGCATGAAGTTTAGTTTCAAAGGAAGAATACACTGTACCCTCTCACATGGTGCACAGAAAAGGAAATGAAAATGGAGCGACTCGGAAAAAAGTGGATATGACCGCGCGCGCACGCGGTCCTCATAATTTTGGACCACCCTGTATAGAGATTATACTAAATATTGCCATATACTGAAGTTCCCGCTTTTCCTCTATAACCGTCAGTGACTTACTCATACTGCGAATGCCTTGCATCACAAATGTAAGGACTTTCAATACGGCGGCAAATATGCCCTAGTTTAATCTTCATCAATGAGTGCGGTGTCAAGTCGTTTTTCAACATCTTTTGCCACATGCGAATCTACAAGGAATAACTATTATAATGATAAATAGTAGCAGTGCATCAGATTGTTTTATTCGTTTTCTGAACACATAAACATTCAAGGAATCAACAATCGATATACGTAAACAACAGGCACTTTTGGACAAGAACGTCAGAGTGACGCAGAGATCCTGAAGTCGTCGAGATGCGCATGTGATGATGTGAGATCTGTGTGTGTGAAAGAGCAGGAAAGCATTAGAATGCCGTGAAAAACTTAGGGTTTTCAGAAGATCAGAGCTTCATATGAGCAATTTGTCGTAACTTCTTGTGGTAGTAGAAAGACCAGTAAAGTATCTGAAATTGTAAAGTCAGATTAAATATCAGTTCAACTCAGAGCGGTGCCTACAACCATAAGATTAATGACGAGTTTGCTGAATGCCATCATAAGGATGCTGTAAAGGGGCGGAGCTTGGGAGGTGGGCGGAGTTTGTGAGATAAATCGGGACAACTCCGTCGCTCTAAACGCGACTTATACGCTTTTTGTTGAGCGCTGCATGAAGAGCTATTTTTCTCGCGAACTAATGGAGCTCTGATGAAGAATGATAGTTTTCTACACTCCAGCTGATGTCAAAGGATTCCTTCCGTTCTGTTCTTTTTTAGAGTGCCATAAGTAGTCATTAGAAAAACTTCAATACTACCATTAGAAAAACTGTTGATTCAAGGCCACGTTCCGTACAGGAACTAGTTGCTGCCTTGTTCAAGGAAGCGTTCACCACGACCTCTGCTGGGTTGTCTCTACCTACTCCCGTCTGCTTTTACTAGTACTCTGACCTAACTATGGCAACGAACTTGCCCTTTCATAGTCTGTTTCAATGATCATGAGATACGGCTTTTATCGATTGGCAATCCCTCTCTGGACACGCATGCATTCTATTCCATTCAGCCCCGTGGCATCTTACCTGGGATTTGACCCCAAACAACAAACGCCACTTCACTGCACCCTGTCTCCACCGGTCATTTTTGCCAACTTTTCATTTCATGTCCATTAATAAAAATGTATTTTTTACGATTCCTTATAAAAATTTAACTCACATTGAAAAGAGCAAAGCAGGCAGGAAACATAAAAGCTGATATGTGATCGATTTTCTCCGGTGGCCAATCGCGTATCTCTCGAAGGCGACAAAGCAGGGTCCAACCGAGGCCACTTCGTTCCATCGGCAACACAAATCGTTTCTCGTACCGACATAATCCAGCCGCGCCGATTCGAACATAGTCAATCGTTTCTCGTACCGACATAATCCAGCCGGCGACGATTCGAACATGTTCACATGGTGATTAGCGGTCTGAAAAAGGAAAGATTTTCTGACGTGGATATTTCCATCGTTGGCTACATTAAAGGGAGGAAGCCCTCTGTTTTTCCTGACTAAATTCCCGCGTACCTTTTTCGGAACATAGCCGCGTTTCTTCAATATTTCCTCGTTTTTCACCTTATACCCGACAATGGCCAATTCGAGCAGGCTACAGAAAACGAACGTCATCGACATCAGCATCCAGACGTCTAAACAAGAACGATCAAAACGACCTCTGACAGTTACAGCTTGATGACAATCGTGAAGTGCATCTGTAATTGTCTTCTGTGGGATACACCCTCAGAGGACAATCACAGATGTTTCATTCCCGTGCACGGAAATCACCCGACAAGAGCGCTAGGGCCTTGCAAAGTGAGCTGCAGCAGCTGCAATTTTTTCTCTTTATCAGGCTGTTGTCTGGCGCTCTCTCATCTGTTGCGCTCTCTCGCCTCATACTCTCCTCTCCGCGCTTAGTCTCTCATTGCCTTAGCACAGCCGATTACGAAGGTGTGAGCCCTTAACCTGAGCGTTTGCGACAAATTTTTTCTTTTTTTCTACTTTTTCTTCACTGGTAGTGTGCAAGAACCACATCAATTTGATCCTATCCCATGCCTTTAAATTCAGCTCTATGATCAAACTGGTGTGGTTCTTGCACACGAATGTGAATGTATCGGTGCCAAGTGGGCCGGCAGTGAAGAAAAAAGGAAAAGAATCCGTCGAAAACGCTCAGGTTGAGGGCTCACTCACCTTCCTAATTGGCTGTGCTAGAGGAATGAGAGACTAAGAGGAGAATATGAGGCGAGAGAGCGCAAAGATGAGAGAGCTCCAGACAACAGCCTACCGCGGGCGGGAAAACTTGAAGCTATTGAAGCTATCTTTGCAAGGTCTGAGCGCTCTTGTCGAGTGAGTTTCCAAGCACGGGAGTGCCACATCTGTGATTGTCCTACGCGAGTCCATCCCACAGACCGGAGGGACTCGTTCACCTAACTCTGCCTGACCTCTGCCTTTAACATTTGTTGCTTTGCAGCCGTTAACAGTCATAGACTATTGATTTCGCGTCTTCAAGCTTGAAGTTATAAGCTGTTTCCTCACATTGAGACTTTACTTCGGTAACGCGATGCATGTGTATATAAGAATGTTAGA